ACATTTCAAATTAAGAACCAACCACCTATTCAGTATAATTCTTTTAATTTCTTAAAACTATCAGTGTGAAACAAATACTCATTTGCACATTTACAAGAAGATACAATTATTGTTCAGTGTAAAGATATGACGATTGGAGCAGTTATGTTATGGACATGAACTGTGAAGGCTTTGAATTGCTTTTGTCCAATAGCAAACTTGTAGACTTGCTAACCCGACGCCCAAACATAAAGTATTAGGATTTATATCCGACATCAAACTCGTGAGATGCTCCCTCAAGAAATTGGATAAAAGATGTGAATGGACTCATCTGGTGAAAATATTCACGTGGTAGCAGGATAAGATGGAATACATAATCAGAGTTGCTGTTACTGTTAGTCTTACCATATACAATGATATCCCAGGTGAAATACACGAGGAATATCAATGAACTAAAAATACAAATAAAAGAACATAACACTGTCACACATAGCGTATTTGAGTGAATGTTATTTCACTGGGATAATACTTTACATTTGAGTAAATTCTCATTATTGAATTTTATACCATATTTGCGTCTCCGAGCAGTGTTAATCTGAGGAAGTGTACGCGTTATCACCAAAACTCACGTGCGCTGACCGTGAATTGGTGTAGCCGAAACAACGGTTACATTACTGCATTTATAATAATTATAATAGACGCAGTTGATGTGTCTAGTCATTCTCATATTGCCATGCATTTTTAACCTCATGCGTCGAGACCAACTTGTCACTGAACTTACCATATGATTGAAGAAATTTGTTTCTGGGCTTCTTTCCGCAATTATTTATTCCACTTCAACAACTATTGTGAGTATTTCGTGCGTGTTTGTAACGGAGGGAGATAACTGATTGAAGTTCAGTGGCCGCGAACACAAGCGGCCGTGATGAAATATTGTGAAATCTATAAATGAAAAGTGTGTCAAGGGAAGTAACGCTTGCGGGTCCATAGGGATACATATGTGCAGTTACTCAGCACGCAGCATGTGTAAGATTACACTCGTTATTACAGTATATAATAATAATGGTTTGTCTAGTTTATAATAACAACATATACTAGATGCATCACCATCAGAAGTCCACTTTTTGGACGTACATATCAACAATAGTTTGTCAAATTTCAGGAACCACCAACAATTATATTTTCCAATACGAACAGTATTTCATTTGTTCAGTTAAAGGCAAGTGTTGCAGAACGTGGACTTGGCAGCTCATGATATAAATTCCACTACTTGTGGCTGCTCCCAACATGTAGTCAAATAATCAAAGGTGACTTCTTCAATGTTGACAATAACAATCTTCATCAGTTATTAAATAGAGACCGAAATATCGTAAGCAGCATCCTACCAATTGGGATTACAACTTTAAAATAATTATAGATGCTGTCGAAGCATTGGGCCAAAATATGGGCCAAAAGAGAGGAACCTGTTGAATGTCTTTCAGGGTGGATGAAGTCAGTGCGTCACGTTGTCATTGGTAGAATGCACAAACTTAATAAGAGGAAACGGAATTGGAATAAAATCATTTTCATTCTTATTTGAAACAAAACGCATTTTTTTAATTACTTAGTATCAGTGTTTGACAATATATATACGCGTTTTTGTCAACGTGCAAGTACGAAGCTCACAATAAGTGTGAAAATATCATGCCGTTATGAGGCCTTGGTTTTCTGAGCTAAACAGGCCCAAGTTATCCCCCTTAGATTATGACGTAATTGGTGTCAGTTTATGGTCAGACAACATGGCATCCGATACATATTGAATGTTATGTATTTTTTCGTCTGCAGGTTTGCAAAGAGTATGCGTCATATACAAACAGACCCTCAAACTTCATTCTTCGTCCATTTCACTGCAAGGACTTCAGGGTTTGGGGTGACCTACTAATAATCACGTATAGTAACAATGAATTGGTGTACCCGAGACAACCGAGTAAATGGTTACATCACTGTATATACAATTATTATATTCAGCCCAGTTGATATTTCAAATCATGCTTAACCATGTATTTTTAACCTAATGTGTCGAGACCAGATTGAACTTACCTGAGATGAAATTGAAGAATAGTTTCCCTTTTGAACAGTGTGCAACCTTCCTTAATTGCTTATTCCCTTTCAACAAACCGTTTGTGTATATCGTAGACGTTTTTTAACTCAGAGACATAATTGATAGTTCAGTGGCTGCGAACACACGCGGCCATGATTGAATATCATGTACCAAGGGTAGTAACTCTTGCGGGTCCGTAGGGTCATTCAGGTGCAGCTACCTTGAATGTAGTCAAGGTGTATAAGATTACACTCAATATTTGAACGACCACTATAACACACTTTAAAGATTATCGAATATATCATAAGACATCAAGACGGGATACGGGTGTGTTGTCAAGGATGCGAGGTATACACGTTAAAGGTGGGTGTGTTGTCAAGGATGCGAGGTATACACGTTAAAGGTGGGTGTGTTGTCAAGGATGCGAGGTTTACACGTTAAAGGTGGGTGTGTTGTCAAGGATGCGAGGTATACACGTTAAAGGTGGGTGTGTTGTCAAGGATGCGAGGTATACACGTTAAAGGTGGGTGTGTTGTCAAGGATGCGAGGTTTACACGTTAAAGGTGGGTGTGTTGTCAAGGATGCGAGGTATACACGTTAAAGGTGGGTGTGTTGTCAAGGATGCGGGGAAAACAAGTTAAAGGTGGGTGTGTTGTTAAGGATGCGAGGTATACACGTTAAAGGTGGGTGTGTTGTCAAGGATGCGAGGTTTACACGTTACAGGTGGGTGTGTTGTCAAGGATGCGGGGAAAACAAGTTAAAGGTGGGTGTGTTGTCAAGGATGCGAGGTATACACGTTAAAGGTTGGTGTCTTGTCAAGGATGCGGGGAAAGCAAGTTAAAGGTGGGTGTGTTGTCAAGGATGCGAGGTATACACGTTAAAGGTGGGTGTGCAGTCAAGGATGCGAGGTATACACGTTAAAGGTGAGTGTGTAGTCAAGGATGCGAGGTATACACGTTAAAGGTGAGTGTGCTGTCAAGGATGCGAGGTATACACGTTAAAGGTGAGTGTGCTGTCAAGGATGCGAGGTATACACGTTAAAGGTTGGTGTGCTGTCAAGGATGCGAGGTATACACGTTAAAGGCGGGTGCGTTGTGAAGTATGCGAGGTATACACGTTAAAGGTGGGTGTGTTGTCAAGGATGCGAGGTACACATGTTAAAGGCGGGTGTTTTGTCAAGGATCATGGACTTTTGTCAGTTTGCATAAATTCATGTAGATCACTGACAAAATACGCTATAGATTCAACGTGTGTATATTTCCTTATATTTATCTATCGATTCCAAATGATTTTATCAGGTCACGAAACTACACTCAGATAAAGACGTTTATGCTCAGGTGGTTTTCATACGTTATATCTTGTTTTCAAATATAACTTCACATGGAGTTAGATACACGACATAAGGTTAGAATCATTTATATTCATCAAACGTCAAAATAGGCTTTACATTACGTGAGAATGTCACAAATGTGCACACGTGGTAATTTTACCCACAATGCATACATCTAAGTAGCAGCGTGGCCATGGTCGGGTACGGTTTCGTAGTAAGTGAGAACGAATCACACTGTACCATTGCATGTGAAATGGATGTCACGCACTTCACTAATGAGAAATTGGAAACCCGGCACAGGACACAACACATTAACGCTATCACAACTCGGCTACCCCATCAGGTGTATGTGAGGCGGTAACATGTGACATAGGGGTATTTAGCAATTTGTGACGTATTATATGGATGCATTTATGAAACAGGTTACTTCTACATTTAAACGATGTCATTATGTGCTTACTGTCATTTGGTAGTATGATTGATCAAGGCATATCGTAGTTCCAACACATACTAAACATAAACTGCGCCGCTTAAGACACAGTTCATAAAATGTTTACTAGCATTCTGAGAAATGCATGGCTTTTCCTTGAAATCCGATCGATATCCGGATTAACCACGTTGTGTAGGTAAGTGTAATCAATATCCGGTAGCTATGACACCAAGAGCACATACTGAACAGGTACAGAAAAAATGTTCTGTTCCACTTCCTTTTTTTCAAATCTGAGTTATTTTTTTCTAATCAACGTAGTTTATATTCCATAAACTAGGCTGATATTGTAATGTATTTATAATCTCATGTGTCAAGACCAAAGTGTCACTGAACTTAACTGAAAATGGAAGAAAATAGTTTTCCCCTTTTCAAACAGTATATTTCCTTCCCTACTTACCAGTAATGTTCTCAGACAAACAAAATCAGTTTCCCTAAATGAACGACAATATTTTAAGTTTTGAGAACCATCAACAGTTTTATTTTCCTTCTCGAACATTGTTTCATACAAGTTTTTCGGGTATAGACGTGTTGCTGAACGTGGAACTGGCAGCTCATGAAGTAAATTCCAGTACTTGAGGTTGCCAAGAGTCATGGCACTGCTACAAACGTGTTGGCCACATAATCACAGGTGACTCCTCTCTTGTTGACAATTAAAAATAACTTCGTCAGTAATTCAAATATCGACCAAGGTATCGTGAGCAGCCTCGTACCAATTGAGATCACAACTTTAAAAGCATTACGGCTGATGTTTCAGTTGGTTTCATTTCCTTACATGTGTCGCATGTGTCGGTGAGCGCGACTGCCCCGGGGATAGTTCCATTTGTAGATAAGACGGAGCTTTCGGTATTTTTTTAAACAGTTAAATGGCAGACCCAGAGAGGAACCAGTAACCCCATTAGCCAGTGGGTAATTTTACGCAAGGAACTTCCAAGTTATACATTTAATAATAAGTTCCACGGTTCCCGTTTGACATTTCATAAACATGACGCAATTACATGCAAAATCAAGTTGACACACGCTTACACAGATATCCAAACAACAAGAAAACCAACAGCAACAACAACAGCAACAATAATAATACAACTAGTACTACTACTAATAATATTTAGAATATATCGTACCTTCAATCAAATGATGACCGATGACCAATGCACATTTTGCTCGTATGATTTTGTGTCATTCGTCACACCACACGCCCCTGTCCTTAACCTGCAAGAAGGATTGTCCACGTCGGCGTATACGACAAACTAATCAGAATGCGCGTAAAGATTAAAATACAGTGATAAAAGTAATCCCGAGTACCGAACTCAGTTATGGCAAGATGTGATCGTTTCTAAACTTTGGAAAACTATCTATCGTCATTTCTACATTACAAAGTACACGGATAGCAGAATTGTGTAGTTTGAATTGTACTTGTAAATACAGAAAGGGCCAAGAACGGTAAGAGATTCAAATGTACATCCGCGTGTTTGGTTAAAACCTATTTATGGCTTAGAACAGCGAAATGTATCAAGTATCCATTGTTTGGTCGGCTCGTAGTCAGTGTGCTGTGTCGGAGTGGGGTATTCATGTTGAGTTGGGTTTACAGTGGGTTAGCACTGTAAACAACAGAAACTCGTTATTGGTCACTTAATAAAAATGAATAGCCCCTTTATGTTAGTAGAGAAAATTCACATAATTTTGACAAAACTATACTAAAGATATAAAGATATACATAAAATATTACAATAATAGCTGCTTTAACATATATAGCCAATGATAGCCACACACAAAAATAATTTTGACAAAACTGATAGCTGATTTAAAATCTCTAGATAAGCACACACACACACACACACGCACGCACGCACGCACGCACGCACGCACGCACGCACGCACGCACGCACGCACGCACGCACGCACGCACGCACGCACGCACGCACGCACACACACACACACACACATGAATGTTTGACTTGAAAAATTGATGTGAACAATATGCATAGATTTGATAGATCTGGTAGTACTTTCAATACATCAACCTCATGTCTAGTTAACGACATCTAAATATATCATTCATCGCGTGTGAACAACAGATGCAAATTTACTAGGTATACTGTGAATTAAAGAATTAAAATTTGCGATATTTTGAATAAAGAACCAACCACCAATCCGCAACTGGTAATCCTCCACCTACTGTTTATATTCTTTACAATGTTCCTCATTCAGTCTTGCTTGACAACGGCATAAGGATCTAAACGTCGCCTTTACAGTATTAAAGAAGTTGTTATCCATAAATTGTGTCTACTTTGTCAACCACCAATGAGTATAAATCTTTAATTTCTAAAAAATATCAAACAAAGTTCACATTTGCACATTTACAATAAGATAAACTTTTGTTCAGTCTACAAATATGACAATTAGAGCAATTATGTTATGGACATGAATCTTAAAAGCCAAGAATTGCAAACCTGTAGACATATTAATCCCGCTCCCAAACATAAAGTATTCAGATTTATATCCGACATCAAACATTTGAGATGCTCCCTCAAGAAATTGGATAAAAGATGTGAATGGACTCATCTGGAGAAAATGTTCACTTGGAAGCAGGATATGATGGAATAAATAATCAGAGTTGCTGTTACTGTTTGTCTTACCACATACAATGATATCCCGGGTGAAATACACCAGGAATATCTAACACATATTATATTTGGTATAACACTTTCTGAGTAAAGTACAGATTCTCTTACTGTTTGGGGTGGATTGTCGATATCATACAAAGGATTCTGCTTTCAGCAAACATTGAATCTAAATTTGTTAATTCATCGTTTCCCAATTGCGTAGATCGATGCCTAATGTCTGGTCAAGACTGGATTTTTTACAGACCGCCGTCATACCGCTGGCATATTACTGAGTGCGGCGTTAAACAACAAACAAACAAACAAACATTAGTTATATCACGACGACATGTGAATAAACGGGTCTGGACCAACAGTTGATAGCATGAGCAATGATCCATGCCATGAGGGCACACACTCAGTAGTGCAGGTATCCTCCCATTTGTCACACACATTAAAACAAAACAGGAGAGAGTTGTCTACACGGTTGACTCCCTTCCTCTTTGCTGGCTGCTAGAATACAATGATCCAGACAGATAAACCAGATTGTTTTGAGCTTCTTTATATGTGTACTAATTTATGATTCAAACAATATTTAGAAAGGGATTAGTAAACAGGCAAAGCCCATTTGAACACTTCACCCTACAAGTACATTTAAAATTAATAAAAGTAAATTGTACATATAATAATTTAATAATAATAATAATATTATATATATGATTTTACTAGAAGCCATCTTGCTGTAACATTTGACCAAGTTGTTTGTGCGATGAGACCTCTGTTGTTGGAGTACCTTTCATTTTAACAGGTTTTCGGCTTCAAAATGCCCATGAAACAAAATGATCCAGGAGTTGTATTGTAAAGTGAGTTTAAATGGACTACTTATATCAACTCTGTTATATGTTATGATTTAGTTTACAATGAATCTTCCAAAGTGTATGAGCAATCTGAACTGTGACTCAAGCTTGCGCCAGCATCTCATCTCCTGCAGAGTTGTCAAACTAAAAGAATATCAAAGAGTGGGAAAACTTCTATTAACTGTACCGTTTAGTTTTTTCCAATATGTATTAGTTAAGTAAACTGTGACTCAAGCTCGCAGCATCTTATCTCCTGCAGATCGGCCTATTTCGAAGTAAGTTGGATTATTCCATTACAACAGTAGGTTATCTTAATTGATCACCACATCCTCTGTGTAACAACTGGCAAAATCGGAGTGTGTGAAAAATGGCATGTGCAACCAATGGGAGCGAACCTTCTCACATTATATCCACCGATCCTCATTAGTAGGCTCTAAAGAGATGTTCTGGAATACTAAATGGGAATATGGCAAGGGTAAACCAAAATATACATTACATTGCTAAATGATATAACCAATAATACATGCTGAGGTATTTAACTCCTCCGGGTAAGAATAGACACCAAGCAGCCTATGCTGGTTGTCACAGACGACTTGATGGATCGGGTGGTAGGGCTCGGTGACTTGGTTGATAACGTGTCATCGTATCCCTACGGAGTGAACCGTTGCTCATAATATCAATCATTGTATTGTCTGGTCCAGACACGATTATTTACATGCCGCTGTGATACAGCTGAAATACTGCTGAATGCAGCGTAAACAACAAATAAAAAAACGAAACTACAAACAATGTCAAAGTGCGACTATTAATATATCTTGAACATTATGGCGAAAACACATTCAAAATGGGCATGGTTTACATTTAAAACAGATGAATATTTTTCAAATGACGTTAAATCATATAAACCTAGATCTATATTCATTTTGAAAATTGCTACAAAGCTTATCATTTCAACTGACCTTTTCTAGCTATTGTATATTTTTCTGTCCGAAACTTGTCTACATGTGATTGCGTTTTATGGTATAAATGTTTAAATCGTAGCTGACAGGTTCATGGCAAATGAACCTTCACTTCGGTTGCTCGATTGATCACAATCTGCTCATGTTTCGTGGGCAACTATCTATGACCTGTTTCACTTAGGGCCTTCCTTCATTAAACTAAAATGCCTTCATACCACTGAAATAGCCCCCAAAAGGGACGGTAGACCCTAACTTTCTCTGTCTACATATCATTTCTCATAAAAGAATCAAGCTATTTGATTAGCCAGCAGCCATTTGAAATAACCTATACAAGTCGGATAGTATGGCAAAAATATCGTCATACAGACTGGGTGTACAAGAACTCAGCTCGAAAAAGCCCCCGTACACCCCCTAAAGTGACTAAAGCGTTCGCTCGTCACGCCGTAGCCTCGGGTTCGATTCCATACACGGGTACAATGGGGGAACCCATGTCTGGTGTCCCTCCGTGCTATTGCTGAAACATTGCTGAAAGCAGCGTAAAACCATACTCACTAACTCAATTATACTCACTCACACTCCGCTAATGACATATTTAACTTGTGATATCAGACCACTGTAGAGCCTTAAGGGTATTATCACTGTTACATAGAATGAGTGAATGAGTTAAAATGTAAAGTCACATCGGCAGTATTTCAGCCATATCGTGGCTTTCTGTCAAATAGGAAGAAGAAAGCACACTAACAACAAGATGACATGTACCCATCTTAGCAAATTGAGCTTCGTCTGTGTCGGCCTTAGTCCACTCAACTAGATGGCAGTCCCGGATTGAGCTCTAGCTGTTTTTAATATAATCAGTTGTGAAGAACATCTGCTAACTGCCAAGTCTGTATAACCATTGTCAGTGACAACTACTACAACCTTTTTCTCTAAGCCTCTAAACATTTCTGGAGTTGTATAAACCACCTTGTTTTCATATCCGTATGGTTGAACCTCGTCGGTCTCGGTATCGATGTCGATTTTTTGCAGCAAGCCAACCACGTCATACCTTGTTAGTTCTCTGTCATCAAGAACAATAACATCACACAATCCTAGCTTACTGCTGGGTTTTTTGTGTTGTTCCATGATATTTTTGGATCTTTGTTCCTTGTCATTGTTGGATTCTTGTTCAATGACACTGCTGGATTCTTGTTCCATGACACGGCTCGATCCTTGTTCCATAACACGGCTGGATCCTTGTTCCATGACACGGCTGGATCCTTGTTCCATGACACGGCTGGATCCTTGTTCCATGACACTGCTGGATTCTTGTTCCATGACACGGCTGGATCCTTGTTCCATGACACTGCTGGATCCTTGTTCCATGACACGGCTTGATCCTTGTTCCATGACACAGCTGGATTCTTGTTCCATGTCACGACTTGATCCTTGTTCCATGACACTGCTGGATTGTTGTTCCATGACACGGCTGGATCCTTGTTCCATGATCCGGCTTGATCCTTGTTCCAGGACACGGCTGGATCCTTGTTCCATGACAAGGCTGGATTCTTGTTCCATGACGCGGCTGGATTGTTGTTCCATGACACTGCTGGATCCTTGTTCCATGACGCGGCTGGATTCTTGTTCCATGACACGGCTGGTGACACTGCTGGATCCTTGTTCCATGACGCGGCTGGATCCTTGTTCCATGTCAAGGCTAGATCCTTGTTCCAGGACACGGTCGGATGCTTGTTTTATGACATTGTCGGATCCTTGTTTGTTGGCATTGAGGGGTACTAGACCAAGCTCTTGAAAATAACCATGCAATTTCTGTTGACAGTCTGTGCATTGATCAACTGTTCCTGTGTGTCCTGTGTGATCAACTGTTTGAGGGTTGGGTCCTTCATTTGGATGCAGTTCCTTATTTGCATGTACCTTTCGTTTAATGACGCGAAGAACCATTTTTCTTTCAAATCCTGCAAGGTTTTGTTCATTCGTGAACAGGATGGCATTTCGTCTCAGAACCTCTTTAATGTCGCATGGAGTAACAAGTGGGAACCCAAGCTTTTCAAAGAAGTAGTACAGAGATGGCTTGACAACAAATATAATTTCTTTTCTCATTTGTTGTTCGTTGATTTTGAGGCAGTCCTTTATTTCAGTTGTGTAAACACCATGTGACCACAATAATGTCGCCAATTGTTTCTTAGAAACTACCTCTGTCTCATCAGCTACGTTGGCTTCTTTGATGTAAATTTCACCGCCTTTGCTAACCGTCAT